TTACTTTAAACTTTGCACAAAGATGACTCACGAAATCTTAATGACACGATTGCAAACAAACCATACCACGGGTGGGGTTTGAACCCACGGTCAGAGAGTCTCAAAACTCCGTGGCTAACGCGACGGTCTGAAGTTTTGAAACTCTCTGACCGCGGGTTCAAACCCCACCCGTGGTATGGTTTGCACAAAGATAATTTCCCGTGGATTCATCCTTCCTTCCCCATACCCTACTATCCTTGACAACCATATATCATTCAATGTACCGTTCCCATCTCTCTCGCCATCTTTGCAATCTTATTCCTTTTGTTTTCGTTCTTTTTTCTCAGGCCCTTGACCGTCAGTGAACCCAAACACCGTATATGATCTCTTTCCTGAATCTCGAACATTTTATCTTGTCTTGCTTTTCTTCTTCTCTCTGGCTCACTTATTGTTTCGTACCATATTCGTGTTTATAGCATCTTGAGATGCTGGACAAATGTCACTTGTTTTCTTTCTACAATTTATTTTCTGTGTCCCCTGCCCTTGGTCCAGCCCATATGTCTTGGTGTTTTTATTTTCTTAAGTTCTCTTTCTTTTTTTAAACCAGTTTCTCTTGTTTTCCATGTGTGTGTGTGTGTGTGTGTGTGTGTGTGTGTGTGTGTGTGTGTACACGTGCGTGTTATGTTAAAAACATACATCACTCTTAGAAAAAAAATTATAATTTCGCGAATATGGCTCCACAAAATAAGATAAAAGGCTTGAAAGAGATTAGTTTTAAAATTCCATTAGTGCGGGGTGCGCTGTGAGGTTATAATATGTAGGAAACCGGGTAAATGGTACCCGGCGCTCCGGTTATCAGTGGACGCAATTTCCGGGAGGAGTATATAAGGGCTGCCAGCATTTGGTGCATTTGTTATGGCTATTGGAAATATTGGAATTGCTGCAAAAACCCAGAGAGAACTGCTGTTCTTTTTTTTAATCATGCAGTTTTGGTTATATAAACTCCCTTGTTTATTTTACCTCCGGGCCAAGCCAATTTTGGCAACAGTAAATTTGATTTTAAAAAGTTTTACTAAAAGTTGGCAAGCAATTTATATTTGGAAAATGCTTTTACTATGACCCATTATAACTTGACCCAACTTAATCGAACTAAAGTTCATGAACCAATACGATGTGAATGAGAATTCCAAGTGGGCTTATGTAGTCGTAAAGTCAAAAGCCTACACAATGTTGTACTTGGTCGCTCGCCGAGCAAGTGTTTGGTGTCAACAAACACACCTGACGAACAAAGATTGGGGAGGATGGATGGTCGATGATATCACTTTGCGGTGTTGTCTTCCTTGGATAGTTTTACCATTCTTGCTATTTCTCATCATTTATTATTGATTAGAAATGAAAACAGTCATAATATCGTTTCTGGAAGTGTTCACAACCCGGAAATTGCAAATGAAAGGGGGAAAACGCTTTGGTCTGTCTTCGACCGAATCAACAAGAGTAAAGAACGATACCAGGGCTAGATTTATTGTAAGATCCTGGTAACTATTTTCCTGACCGAGTCGGCTGATCCATTTAGTGAACTGTGTACCGAAACGATAGTAAAAAGGGAAAGTATTACGCTATATAGTACAGTGACTTGCAACTGTGATGGGTAGTGGGAATTACGCTGGTTTTACTGTTAATGCCAATGTTGTGGTATTCGTAGCCGTTGAAAACTAGGGAATATGTTGATATTATCACTTCTAAAATCAACCTATTCTTTCGCCAAGGGTGATATTCGCTCATTTTTGAACGTTTAATTAGACCAAAAGTAATTAATTAGACACGTACTGTCTGAACATAATACCATAAGTTAAAACTTTCCAGAGAGTCCATAACTTATTTAAGTTAGCTATAAGTTGATCAGTATTAAAAAATAATAGAAAATATGCACCCTCCCTCTTCTCTAGAAGATAATGTTGGATCAAGGAACGTCATCGGATCTTTTACCCAACACATGTGTGGTAAAGTTGCCCAGGTGTTGTGCGTGTGTTTCAGTCGTCATGTATGAATGTTTCCTGGTGTTACCCGGCCACTGCCTCTCCATACACGGCGTTGTCATACACAGCGTTGTTATATACATAGCGTTATTATACACAGCGTTGTTATACACAGCGTTGTTATATACATAGCGTATTATCAAGCGTTGTCTCACAGCGGTTTCAATAAAGCGGTGAAAAACGTTTGGTCTGGTTTCAACAATCAACAAGCGTAACAGGGGATAACCAGGGCTAGATATTGTCAAGACCTTGGTAACAATTTCGTAACCGTTGTCACCAGCGTGCCCATTACGTGATGTGTACCAAACGTATAGTAAAAAGGGCAATATTACGCATTGTAAAAGTTGTCTTGCAACTTTGATAAGCGTTGTGGGAATTAACGCTGTATCCCCTTGTTAGCCAATGTTGTATATCGAGCGTTGCATAACTAGGTTGGAATAGTTGTATTACACTTCTAACAATTTCATACACTATTTTGTCGTACACAACGTTATTGTCATTTTGAAACGTTCCTACATAGCCTTAGTGTAACAATTGCAACACGACGTTGCAAACAGCTTGTGTACACAAGTTTATAACAGCGTTTCGTCAAGACTTGTCATAACATTGCATTACAGCTTAGTCTAAACGTGTCGAT